CTTTCTTTCTTTCTTTCTTTCTTTCTTTCTTTCTTTCTTTCTTTCTTCCTTTATTTATTTATTTATTTGGTCAAAAGGTTACAATACAATAGAAATAAGAATAAACATAAGTTTAACCACAAGAAATAGGAACTAATAATTGGGGACAATAGGACAGGGACGGTAGGCACGATTGTGCGCTTATGCATGCCCCTTACAGACCTCTTAGGAATGGGGTGAGGTCAATAGAGGTTAATTTGAGAGTAAATGAGTAAATTAGTTTGAGCAGGTGACAACAGAGTCAGGTAGTGAGTTCCAGACATTGACCACTGTGTTGCAGGAATCGTACTTCCTGCAATCGAGTTTGGAGTGGTTTACATTAAGTTTATATCTGTTATGTGCTCTTGTGTTGTTGTGGTTAAAGTTGAAATATTCATTAACTGGTAAGACGTTGTAACATAGGAGTTTATGTACACTGCTCAAAAAAATAAAGGGAACACAAAAATAAGACATCTTAGATCTGAATGAATGAAATATTCCTATGAAATACTTCGTTCATTACATAGTTGAATGTGCTGACAACAAAATCACACAAAAATTATCAATGGGAATCAAATTTAGCAACCCATGGAAGTCTGGATTTAGAGTTACACTCAAAATTAAAGTGGAAAAAAACACTACAGGCTGATCCAACTTTGATGTAATGTCCTCAAAACAAGTCAAAATGAGGCTCAGTAGTGTGTGTGGCCTCCACGTGCCTGTATGACCTCCCTACGACGCCTGGGCATGGTCCTGATGAGGTGGCGGATGGTCTCCTGAGGGATCTCCTCTCACACCTGGACTAAAGCATCCCCCAACTCCTGGACAGTGTGGTGCAACGTGGCATTGGTGGATGGAGTGAGAGATGATGTCCCAGATGTGCTCAATTGGATTCAGGTCTGGGGAACGGGTGGGCCAGTCCATAGCATCAATGCCTTTGTCTTGCAGGAACTGCTGACACACTCCAGCCACATGAGGTCTAGCATTGTCTTGCATTAGGAGGAACCCAGGGCCAACTGCACCAGCATATGGTTTCACAAGAGGTCTGAGGATCTCATCTCGGTACCTAATGGCAGTCAGGCTACCTCTGGCGAGCACATGGAGGGCTGTGCGGCCCCCTAAAGAAATGCCACCCCACACCATTACTGATCTACTGCCAAACTGGTCATGCTGGAGGATGTTGCAGGCAGCAGAATGTTCTCCACGGTGTCTCCAGACCCTGTCACGTCTGTCACATGTGCTCAGTGTGAACCTGCTTTCATCTGAAGAGCACAGGGCGCCAGTGGCGAATTTGCCAATCTTGGTGTTCTCTGGCAAATGTCAAACGTCCTGCACGGTGTTGGGCTGTAAACACAACCCCCACCTGTGGAGGTCGGGCCCTCATACCATCCTCATGGAGTCTGTTTCTGACCATTTGAGCAGCCACATGCACATTTGTGGCCCGCTGGAGGTCATTTTGCAAGGCTCTGGCAGTGCTCCTCCTGTCCCTCCTTGCACAAAGACAGAGGTAGCGGTCCTAGTGCTGGGTTGTTGCCCTCCTATGGCCTCCTCCATGTCTCTTGATGTACTGGCCTGTCTCCTGGTAGAGCCTCTATGCTCTGGACACTACACTGACAGACACAACAAACCTTGCCACAGCTCGCATTGATGTGCCATCCTGGATGAGCTGCACTACCTGAGCCACTTGTGTGGGTTGTAGACTCCGTCTCATGCTACCACTAGAGTGAAAGCACCGCCAGCGTTCAAAAGTGACCAAACCATCAGCCAGAAAGCATAGGAACTGAGAAGTGGTCTGTGGTCACCACCTGCAGAACCGCTCTTTTATTGGGGATGTCTTGCTAACTGCCTATGCTTTCCACCTGTTGTCTATTCCATTTGCACAACAGCATGTGAAATTGATTGTCAATCAGTGTTGCTACCTGAGTGGACAGTTTGATTTCACAGAAGTGTGATTGACTTGGAGTTACATTGTGTTGTTTAAGTGTTCCCTTTATTTTTTTGAGCAGTGTATTATGCTTAAGTCCAATCTTAGCTGGCGTAGTTCAAGGTTGTCTAAGCCTAGAATCTCAACTTCTTGTTGCGTTAAGCGTAATGGAGGTCTGAGGCGTTTGGAGAGAATGGTTAGATGGAAAACAGAGAGAGGGGACTATTGAGGTCACGGTTACCTCAAAGGTGTTGGTTTTTTTGAAGAGGCAACTGGACTTTCTGATTTTTCTTTGAAGATGTTTCGCTTCTAATCCAAGAAGCTTCTTCAGTTCTGATTGGATGGTGGGGAATGGAAGGATTTATACTCCTTGCAGACAGCTGGTCATTTGCATTCTTTTAATTAGGGAATCGTTGAGGCCACCTGGAGGTTTATCTGTGTCCTCTGGGTCATCTGCAAATGGGTGTGGACAGGGGTAGGATATGACAGGGTTAACTACTGGTTCGGGATTTACGAGCTTCCCTGCAGGCTGTGAGCCTTGCGCCTGTAAATCGTCAGCAGCAGCTGCCTGCAGAGAAGCAGCCTTTGAAACAGCCCTCTTTTCTTGCTTTTCTAACTGCAGCTGTGCCTCGGTTAGGCAGCTGAAGTTGAAAAATCAGGAAATAAAGATCAGGAAATAAGAACCCGGGTGGGCGGGTGGTCAAAAACATCAGCAGTTCTACGTCTGCTGCTCTTCAGAGCTACCGGTTCTACAGAGGTGGACAGAACTGGTAGAAACCCACCCCTGGGTGTGAAGCCTTCTTGGAACTGCTGAAAGGACTGTGTTGTAGACCAGTAGTCCCCAACCACCGGGCCCCGGACTGGTACCGGTCCGTGGATCGTTTTGTACCGGGCCACAAAGAATGTTTGCTTGGGCGCCGCCATCTTGTTTCAGCGTCCTGAGTTGCCTTAGCATGCTCGGTTAAGAAATGCCCCTACCCAGAGAAGGAGGTGGTGCTGGAGGAGGAGGAGGAGGAGGCAGTAGTGGAGAAGCAAGCAACTCAGGGCGCTACTGCTGTGGCGGCTTTGCCTGCGTTTCTGAGGCTTCGATGTTGGGAGAGGCAGCAAGGGCTAGAAAAGGGGAGAGCTGTGCAAGGCTCCGTCTCCCTTTCCTGCCTGCACGTGGGTGGCGGGGAGGAAAGAGAGAGAGCCGGGAGCAATTCAAGGCTAGAAAACTAATGGGGAGAGCTGACGGCGGGCACTGGGGGCGGGGACTGTTGTTGCTGCCGCCGTGTGTGGGAGCGTGCATCTCAGGGACCTGAGCCGGGAGGCGCGAGAACTGCAAGTAGGAGCGTTTTATGATTTTGAAGAACTCCTGGAACACGGTAGATTGCCGTTTTGTAGGTCTCAGTGAAAGAGTGAGCTTTGTTTTGTCTCCTTTCTTCCCCTGGTAATGCGAGAGATACTTTCTCTCTTCCCCTCCACCCCCAAATAATCACTGGCTGTGGCTGGGTTTGGCAGCGAAATGCTAAAGCGAGCGACGTGCCCCCAGGGACACCTTTCCTTGCCTGTCTCCAGGTGAGGCTGGAAGAGCCCCCCCCCAGCTTTTCCTCGGCTGCAGATCTGAGCCTCTCAATCCGCCACCCAGGATCTGAAAGGGGTTCCCACTTTCTCCCCCTCCCCTCCCCCAATTTATCCAAGAGCGGCAGTCCTTCTGCAGGCAGATGCCTGCTGAGAAGCCCCTGCAGTGGCAGCCAAGGGGCGCTGCCAAGGAGAGCAAAGCCCCCTTTCTCCCTCTGCTTCTCCCAACAGCAGTTGCCCCGAGGCCCCTCAGGTCACACACACACACACACACACACACACACACACACACACACACACACACACCCTGCTCTTCTGTCTCTTTGGAAGGTGCCAGGTGGGGGAGGCTTCCAGCCCAGAACATTTTATTTTGTTATCATTAAATAAGTGTGTGTGTGTGTGTGTATGTATGTATGTAACATTAACATAAAAATTATATTAAATATATTAACTTTTTAAAAAAATTCATATTAGTGGTCCTCAGGATTTAAAAGTATGAATTTGGTGGCCCCTGAGATCCAAAAGGTTGGTGACCCCTGTTGTAGACTGATGATGATGTATTGTATCCCTTCCCCTCTGTTGAGAGAGGGCTATTCAATTTTGACATAGATGGCCTCTTCGACCACCCCCCTTTCAAACCAGCGGTCCTCTCTGTCAGTGGACAGAGCGGGAGGGATATGACATCATCTATCTCCATCCTACAACACAGTTCTTTCAACAGTTCCAAGAAGGCTCCACACCACCATCCAGTCAGAGCTGAAGAAAGCTTCTTGGATGAGAAGTGAAACATCAAAGAAAAACCAGAAAGTCCAGTTGCCTCTTGAAAAAGCACCTTTGCGACATGAGGGAGGGGAGAAGCACTGCAGCTTGCTGGGGGCTGTGGTGCGAAAGAACTTGAGGATTTGAGAGACCTGAATCCTCCAACTTTTTAAACAGGTGCAATTGATGTGGAAGTACACAGCTAAGAAGCCCCATTGGGGGTTTTTGAAAGAAAATTAAATACAGGCAATTCTCGACTTATGACCACAATGGAGCCCAAAATGTATGTTGCAAAGTGAAACATTTCTTAAGTGGGTTTTGCCCCCTTTTATGACCTTTCTTGATGCAGTTGTTAAGTGAATCACTGCAGTCATTAAGTTAGTAACCAGGTTGTTAAGGGAATCTTCCCCATTGACTTTGCTTTTCAGAAGTTCGCAAAAGGTATCACATGACCCTGGGATACTGCAACCGTCATAAATATGAGTCAGTTACCAAGCATCTGAATTTTAATCATGTGATCATGAG